GGGCTTTACAGACAGTGGCATCTGGGCCGGGACACCAAGGGATACCTGAATCACTGGGACTGGTTTGGTGGCCAGGATGGAAAGGAAGGAAGGGAAGCGCTTCATGCAGTTGAGGGGAAACAATATGGACTCATAAAAGTAAGAACAGCAGTAGTAGCATGTAGTAGCATGATGTCATTTGAGAAGTTCTTAGGATTATACTGAGGATGGAGGATGGCTCTTTTCACCAGGATGACCTGCTTCGTCTTCCCCTGCTCCTTGATGGTGTGGGCTCTTAGGGAGACACTGATTGACCTGCACAGAGAGCAGAATGATGAGTGGGGCAGGAGGCAGAGTCATAGGAGATATAGCCCCAGAGTCATGAAGGCAGGTGACAACAGAGGGAGGGCTTTGGCTAGGGGAAATGGTGGCTGAGCGTCTCAGCTTCTCACTGACACTGAGGTTAGGGAGCTGGGAGCTCACTTTCTTGCACTTAGGAAATATCACAAAATTGCTTAAATTTGCATTTTGACCCGAATGCATGCATCCCTGGTTCACTGTTGCTTTATTTGCCCAGTGTGGTCCCTCCCTCTCTTCTTAACTATGTTACTTTGCTCTCAACTCTGAACCCAAATCTTACTTGTCTATTTCTCAGCCTCTCATTGCCCCAGTCATGATCTCAGAGGGCTTCTCTGAGTTACCAGGACTCTGAGGAGCTGCCCTGGGCTGTATCCTGTGAGGAAAGGATAGGGTCCCTGTAGTAGTCTTAGAAGTGATGAGCTGTCAGGACCAAGTTCACTCACAAAAGGAAACACCCCATTTGGTCTCCTCATCTTGAATGTGAACGAAGGCCGTATAGGAATGGGACTTGGCTTCATGTCCCCCAGTGATCTTCCCTGAAGGTTAAGCCTTGAAGGCAGGTGACTGGCAGTGTCTGTGGCCAGGAGGGAAGGCTTAGAAAGGAGATCATTGAAGTGGATGGTCTAGGTGCCCTAAAGACAATGGAGGGAGGATCTCTTAGATCCTCCTTTAGCCCAGAAACTTTCTCTGAACCTCAGGCCTCAGGAACTGCCCTCCCTATAAGAATGGGGGTACAATGCTTCTCTCCAAGTCCTCCTCAGACACAAGGCCTATCTTGCAGATGGTGGAACAGGACTCAGTCTCCTTGATGCTATGAACCTGTATTGACACCTGATTTGTGCTGTTTCTAATAATCTACCCATGAGTTCATGGAGTTGGATTTTCTTTTTATTTTTTTCCCAAATGTCATTTGCATAAAATTTTAATAAAAATCTCTTAGTGACTTATTTCAGGTGTACAACATAATGATTTGATATATCAGGGTGTGGAGTTGGATTTTCTAAAGTCCTCTTGTCCTAGTGCTTATTACATCCTAGGTTCTCAGTAAACATTTGTTGGCTGCATGAATGATGGACTCCAATTAGCTTTTGCCTGATGTCTGATGGGATTCAAGGTCACAGGGATGGGGAGAGGGCACAGCCAGAGAGAGTGGAGCAGCAGAGGGCCTGGGAAGCAGGGGAGGTGGGGCTGGACCTGGGCAGCTCAGGCTGGGGCAGAGCCAAGGCAGCCAGGTGCTTGTGTACAGTCTTCCAGCCACATTTCAGGTCAGTCACGCCTTGCTCCTCTTCTGGGCATGGCCTACATTCACTTTCAAGATGAGTAGGAGACCAGGTGTGGTGAGGGATTTTTATAACTTGTCTTTTGTATTCCCTATCCCCGTGGTCGGCAAACTGCGGCTCTCGAACCACATGCGGCTCTTTGGCCCCTTGAGTTTTTAGCAAAGGTCAGCTTTGGAGTACCCTAATTAACTTAATAATGATGTACTTACCTATATAGTTTAATTTAAAAAAAATTGGTTCTCAAAGGAAATATCAATCTTTGTACTGTTGATATTTGGCTCTGTTGACTAATGAGTTTGCCAACCACTGCCCTAGCCGGTTTGGCTCATTGGATAGACAGAGTATCAGCCGGTGGTCTGAAGAGTCCTGGATTTAATTCCAGTCAAGTGCACTTATCTTGGTTGTAGGCTCCATCCCTGGCTCCGGTAGGGCACAGGCAGGAGGCAACCAATAGATGTGTCTCTCTCACATCAATGTTTTTCTCTCTCTGACTCTCCCTCTCCCTTCCACTCTTTTAAAAAAAATCAATAGAAAAATATCCTTGGGTCCTGAGGATTAGTAATAATAATAATAATAATAATAATAATAATAATAAAAATTCTCAAAACAAAACAAAAACAAACAAAAAAGAAAAACTTGTCTTTTGTAGTTTCACACCTTTTGCCAAATGCCTGTTTCTGGAAAACTTATTTTCTAGGTGATAAGAGAGCAGCTAACAACTGTTAGACCTTTTAGTGCACACCTTTCACATGGCCATCCTTGTTGAGTGTCTATCCTGCATCAGACTTGTTAATCTGTGGGATGGGACCTGGCATTTAGGAAGTTCCTGGGTGCAAATGGAGGAAAAGTTCCTGCCTGTGCTGGGCAGAAGGGTCAGAATTTGTTGGAGGTGGTGGGGCTCAGGCCTCTGGAATGGGGATGCTCACTTACTAGTCATACCTAGGAGGCAGGAGTGGGGCGGGAGGAAGACCAACAAGAAAAGGAGTGGCAGCGATCAGACTTTCAAACCCCAGAGGGAAAGTAAGGGAGAGGTCAACCAAAGCATATGGACCTAGCCAATGGCCATGGACAATATAAGTGGGGAGGGGTTTGGGATGGGAATGGGGGGATGAGGACAATTATGTGATATAATAATCTATAAAATTAAAAAAAAGAACAGAAGTGGCTGCATCTTCCCCAAATGCCTGCCCAGGTCAGAGCTGCTGGTATTTCTGGTGTCTAGACACAAACCTCTGAGGGAAGCAGAGAAGTGTGGCTCAGTAACTTCCTGCACCTCCTGGACCGCACCCCTCTAGTTTTGCTGGGTGTCATCATGCCAGGTGTTTGGGGAAGTTCTCAGGCTTGGTTCAGTGACAATGGCACTGCCACCACACTTTCACTCCCATTGCTAAACAACAAGGTGCAAGAAGGAGTAAGAATGTGAGGGTCTTGGCTGCAGCCAGCAGGGGGCTGGAACCTCAGAATCCCTCAGTGACTAAACCAAGCCTGTTTCCATGTCTGGGTTCTTGGTTCTTTTCCATGCTGATGAAATCATGAATAATCATTTACAAGCCAGGTCCAGGCACATGGGAGACATGGCTCCTGCCCTTGGGAAGCTGACATCGGCTGCAGTCTACTGAGAATCCATGGCCAATGGCCAGGCCCGTATGCATGTATGAGAAGGGAAGGGCTATGGGGAGGGGTTTGCTTGGTGGTATGAGGTAGAGGGTGGACTTGCCTGAGGACCAGATGGCCTGCACACACCCAAATATCCCAAACGGTAGTTCCCTTTCCTCTCTTACCACCACTTCAACTTCTTATTTCTGGAATATTTAGCATTCTCCCTTGTAGATGTAAATATTGTATGACACAGGGGGCCTTTATTACTGCACAATTTTGAACAGAAGTCCTGGACTTTTATTCATAAGCTCCAGAGTTCAGAGAACCCTGTCTCTGATGACCCTGGCCTAGCAGTTACATACATCTGCAAACACATTATCCCAACGCTTTCACCAGTGTGACCACAGAGGGAAGAGCAATGGAAAGGGAGGCACTGGAGTTTTCAACAGCCCAACCCCAGTTCTGTGCAAGGAGCAGCACCTTCAGCATAGAACTTCTGAAGGATCAGTGATGATGATTTCTGCGTGGTGGAGGTCTTGGTAATTTTCACTTTCTTATCTACATGTTCCACATTTAATTACTTTTCTGTGATGAATATGTACTACTTTTTTATTCCCCAAAGACATTTTCCCATAGTCAAAGCACACCTATCAATGACAGATGTTTAAGAAAGTACTGCTTTCCCCCCTGTCCTTCTGAAGTTGAATGTTTTAACATGAGATTCCTGTTCTTAATCTAGTCATATAATAGAGATTTGGATTTCCTTTCAATACCAACACACACACACACACACACACACACACACACACACACACACACATACACACAATATAGGAGGTGGAGAGAGGTTGGCTGAGACCGAGATGAAAGAGCAGCATCAAGGTAAGTGTTGGCTGCAGGTGGGCAGGCTGCCAGGACACCAGGGGCTGCACTGGGCTCTGGGCTCCCAACAGGGCTGTGCCAAGCTCTGGAGCTGGGCCTGGGAGTAATGAAAGGCCTGCTGACCTTCTCAATCTGCTCTGATTGGCGGGGGAGGGCTGCCCGGAATGAGCTATATCTTTCCATAACCTTCCCACCCATTGCTCTTTGGGTGGAGAAGTGGCTTCATATAGGATCCTCCATTTAATTTCCAGATTCTTTTATGCTGCATATTAGCATTGGGGCTGCGTGGGGTAAGGCAGTGGTCGGCAAACTCATTAGTCAACAGAGCCATATATCAACAGTACAATGATTGAAATTTCTTTTGAGAGCTAACTTTTTTAAACTCAAACTTCTTCTAATGCCACTTCTTCAAAATAGACTCCCCCAGGCCATGGTATTTTGTGGAAGAGCCACAGTCAAGGGGCCAAAGAGCCACATGCGGCTCTCGAGCAACAGTTTGCAGACCACGGGGATAAGGTATAAGTGCGGCTTGAAGGAGGGCAATATGGATGAGATAAGAGGGTCTTCTAGAAGAGGGTCACTTTTGGGGGACAGATGTCATCTCTTTCCCGATAGAGCTTACATTAGGCCTGGCAGGGGAGCTGGCACTGGGGGGAGTATTGAGAAGGAGCTGGGAAGAGGTTGAAGGTGTGGTTCCATGAAGCGGGAAGCTCTAACAGCTGGGAAATGTGAACAGATGGTTGTCACACACACAGCAGGTAACTAAGACAGGTTTTGTGAATACAGGAGGATTCAGTGATGTCCACTCTAGAGGATGCAAGTTTATTAAATGCCTGGCAGCCTCCCCTCACCCCTCTGCAGAGTGCAGTTCTGGCCTGTGCCCCAGAGGAGACGAATAGATCAATACTGTGGTGCTTCACTCTGGAAACGTTTCATTGTTCTTTCTATCCAGGGCAGAAAGCTGGAAATCTTAGTTTCAATACGAGGAGGTTTTCCATTTTTCCTCCCAAAGGAGACAATGCCCTGGGCCATGTTGTCACACATGAGGGGTCCCCCAGAGTCGCCCTGTGGGCAGAGGGAGGAAACACTGAGCTGGACCTTCTCCTGGCCCTGTCCTCCTTGCTGTCCCCGGGGTGTGTGGTCCCTGTTAGGAGCAGTATGGGAGATCAGGGTCAGGGTAGGCCTTGTCCCCTCCTTAGGTCTGGGGTTTTCCATTTGACTCTGAAGGTCTCTTTTTCCCCTTCTAGAAAGCCTTTGCCCACCCATAGCTGTGGGACAGCCTTTCTGCTCCAGGGAGAGAGAGGACCAGAGATTGGATGGTGGAAAGGCAGAGAACATAGGGCTGTGGCCAGTTCCCACTGCTTCAGGTTGCCTGCAAGCTTGTTTGTGCCCAGGGCGGGGCCTGGACAATGCTGGAGATCTCACCTTAAAAGTAGACTGATCCTTTCCTGGGTCCCCCACACAGATCTCTTTGGCTCTGTTGAAACGGTGTCTGTAGCAGGAGACACACTGCTTGTCCTCTTGGATTTCCAGCTCTACCTCATGCAGTGTGGCTGTGGAGGTGTTCAGGTTGAGTCGCCCCCAGCCGGCCACTCTGCACACCATCCCTGGCTTCACCTGCTCTCCCCTCCTGGGCAGCCTGAGGAGGCTCACAGCGGCAGTCAGGGTGGCCTTCCTCTTCAGCTGAAGGCAGAGGACAGGAATTCTCATTGAGCAAGGGCCCAGGACACCAGGACAGTCATAGCCCTGGGACAAGGGAAAGGCTCACACTAGGAAGGACGACAGGAAGGAGGTCGCAGGAGATGAGAAACCCCTGGCTGAAGGTGTGCAAGAGCCAGTGGAAGGATGAGCCCTACCTGCAGCAACATGATGTCATTGAATTTGGGACGATAGTTTGGGTGGGGGATGGCTGTTTTCACTGGGATGACCTGCTGGGTCCTTTCACGCTTCTTGATGTTGTGGGCACCCAGGATGACTGTGATGGACCTGCACAGAGATAGCCAGGGATGTGGAGGCACAGCAGATACAGCCCAGGGGCCAGGAAGGGAAGAGGGCAGCTGGGGGCAGTGCAGGATTGGAGTGGAGAGGGATTCTAGGGGATGGGGCGGGGAATTGAGCATGCCTGTGCCATGTGCTTTTTGGCAGCTCAGGCTAGGTGTCATTTCCTGAAGCAGAGCTTCGGTGCTCAGTCACACCCTGAGCTTGCCTGTCTCTAAGCAAAACTGTGAATTTCTCACATTTGTACCCTGATCTTCAGGGCACAACCTTGCCCTTCTTCCTGAGCCCCTTTGATCAGTCCCTCCAGTCTTCAACAGGCCACTTTCATTGACCTGTCCCTCTGCCCAAAGCTGACCTGTCCTCTGAAGTTTCCCTCTGTGCCCCTATATCTGTAGCCTCTGAAAAGAAGGTTCCCTGTGAGGTGTCTGCAGAAGGGTGGGCCCAGGCTGTGCTCCTCACCTTCCCAAGCAGTGAGCTGCTGTCAGTACAAAGTCCTCATGCACAAGGAAACCCCCACATCGTTTTCTGTTTGAACTCCTGATCCGAAGAAATGCCATGTAGGGACGAGAGTGAGGCTTGACCTCATGACCCCCGATGATTTTTACTGCAAGAAAAAAATCTACTCTGCCTGCTGTGCCCATGGAGCCAGAGGCTGGAGAGGGGGAGACTGGGATAGAAAGGGGTGGGTAGGACTTGGATGGCAGATAGTGATGTCTATAGTCATCAGCCATAACCAGGAAGACGTCCTACAGGTTCCTTGGGCAACATTCCTGGCTTGCTATATGACCTGACCCACAAGTGAGATAATTCCTTTGACAAAGAGGACAGCAATCCTTCTTTCATTACTGTTGTAGCTGTGCACAGTGCGATTTGTGTCTGGAACAAGAAATTTCGTGCCTGAACATCCTGGAAAATTCTTCCTGCCATGCTCCTTGGGCTTTTCTCCCTTCTTTTCCCCAAATTCAGAGCCATTGCTGGTTTGTACTATTCAAAATATTGGGACTGAAAAATTACCAGAGAGAATTTGAAATCAAACCAGCCTCAGGGGACCAGTATGCCACCAACTCTGGGATCAACTGGATACCCAGCTTCTTTACAAAACTTGGAGAAGGGGGTGGAGATTGAGGGAGATTTTAAGATATTGAGTTAGAACGTTAGTGGGCCTTGCTTTGATTACAGAAGCCTGTCCCCTTCGCCTAGCTGCGATTTACTGTGGAATTATTTCTCATTTCAAGCGTCCAACCTTCTTTCAAATGTCTTTGAAAAAAAGCCCACTTTCCAGATATCAAGGGATGGGGAGAGTACCCATGTGTTTTCCTCAGGAGCAGCCATCTGCCCTGCTATTCCTGTTGCATTTTCATTCAGTTTACTCTTGCTGGTCTTTGAAGGAGGTGGGATCTAGTGTTGAGAAAGTGCCTGGGGATGGACCAGGGCCAGGATGTATCTGAGTGTAGCATGTGAGCTGGGCAATGCCCATGTCACGTGTCATTGGGTTTCTAGTGGGGGACAGGCACTCACCTGCCTGCACTGTGGGGGCCAGAAGAAAGGCCATCAGGAGCAGAAGTGGCTGCATCTCCTCCGGAAGCTGTCAGGTCAGAGCTGCTGGTGCTTCGTCCTGGTCTGCTGAGCCCAGGGTTCTCTGTGGCCTTTATCACACACGGCTCTCTCAGTAACCACATAAGCACTGGTTATGGTCACCATTGACTCAGTGGTGACTATGCCAGCTAGAAACATGAACCCCAGGCTATAGATAGGGCGGTTCGTGATGCTGCATCAGCCAGTAGGAGGAGCCTGAGCCCCAGGAACCCAAAGCTCATAACATGCAAGGACCCCTCATTTCCTTGGCTCTCTCTTGACAGTTAGGGAATTGTTTATTGAGGTCCCCGTTTTGTGAGGGTCAGCAGTATTGCAGATGAGATTTCTTGCTTCTGCTGGAGGAGACAAAAGCATCAGTGATCAGGTAATGATGGTGAGGCCTGTGGGTGGAGGGATGGACAGAATGGTGTGGCAGCGATGCCCAAGAGGGCTTGTTCTAGTGACAGAAGAGCTGATGGCTTACCAAAACCAACAAAAACATTTATTTTGCTCAGGAATCTGCATTTGGGCTGGGTTTAGTGTGGATGTCTCCCATCAGCTCCCCTTGATGGCAGAGGAGGCTTGAAGCCTAGAGCCTGCCCAGTGGTTGGTGCCAGATGTCTGTGGGCATGCCTGTTCCCCTCTGTGAGGGCCTGTCATGCAGTCTCTGCATAGGATTGTTCAGTCTTCTTTGCAGCATGATGGTGGCTTCCACAGAGTGAACCTCTCTTCCAAATTGAACCTGGAAGACATATTCTTTTTCTTTCCTAGGCTTTGTAGCTATATGGTAACCTTTCTGCCTTATTCTACACCTTGGGGTAATCAAAAGCCCTCACCTAGATTAAAAAAGAAAGAGCATTGCAGTCATGTAATGGAGTCTTTGGGATGGAGATACATGATGGCAGTCAAAGCAGTGCACAGTCTGCCCTCTGCTGAGTCACATGTAGAGTCAGTGAGAGGAGCCGAAACCACGGACCCCTGTAAGCCGCGGTCACAGCCTTTGGAAAGTTGGGGTCTTCTCTGTCCAAACCATGTGTATGGGGATGGAGGAGGGTTGACTCTCCCAACAATCACTCTTTTGTGAAGTGGTAATGAATACCAGGAAGCCAAATAGTATTTTCCCAGCACTGTCCAGAAGACTATTACATTTCAGATATCTTTATGCCAAGCTAATATATGCATTTAATTTGATTCCAATAAAAATATCATTTTTCTTTCAGTGTTATACAAGTTCTAGACAATTTCTAAAATATGTGTGGGAAATAAACATGCTAGAATAGCTCTGAGAATTTTGACAAAAAAAAAAAAAGACAGTAAAGGAGAGGGTAAGCCTTATCATATATTAAAAACATTATATAAAATCTCTTTTCTTAATCCTATATAATAAAAGGCTAATATGCAAATTGTCTCCTTGGGTGGGAGTTTGATAGACCGGAAGTTTGACCAGCCTAGCCCAATTGGCCCAATCAGGGCAGGCTGGCTGGACCCCACCCATGTACAAATTCATGCACCAGGCCTCTAGTATATAATCACTATGTGCAGTGACAGATGGGTATTAGACTTATGGTGATCACTTCATAAGGTATACAAATGATGAATCACTATATTGTGTACCTGAAACTAATATAATATTGCAGTATTACAGTATTACAGTATGTCAACTATAGTTTAAAAATAAATTTAAAAAACAAAAGATAAAAGAGAAAAAAGAACACATTGTAAAGGCCATACTACATGTGTGAAATTAGTTTAAATGGTAAACTCCAAAAAAACCCCCAAAAAACAAACAAACAAATAAACAAAACCTCTCTCCTGATTCATGAGTAGACAAAGGACCATTAAACAGAGTTGAAAACCTAGAAACATTCCCAAGTACACAAAGATATGTAATTTATAATAAGGTGACATTTTAAATCATTGGGAAAAAGATAGACTTTCTAATGATATTGGAACAACTAGAAAATATTTTTTTCTTTGTTTTATTTTCTAATCAGAGTTGACAAAGTCACTTTTAAAAGATATTAAGTTGGAGTCATATTTCATATAAACCACCAAAGTGAAATGCAAATAGATAAGACATTTATATAACCTATATAATAAAGAGCTAATATACTAATTAGACCAAACAGTCCAGAGGACATCTTGGATGAAGCTGGGGCTGTGAGGGCTGAGCCCCTTGCATGAATTTTGTGCTTCGGGCCTCTAGTACAAAATAAAGCCATACATGCACAACGAATAAACATGGATGAATTTCTTTATAAACTTAGAAGCGGTAAAGCCTTTCTAACAATGAGTCCAAATATAATACAAAAACTTTAAAAGAAGTGATTGATAAATACATGTTGTTATGTAAAAAGTAATTTTTACAAGTCTCCACTTTCCTGACCACGTGAGCCTCCGTAATTTGAATTGGAGTATGCACAGGCAGGAGCTTTTGGTAACGATAGGGACCATGGGATCGTCTGTCCAATCGGATGGGTGTTCAGAGGCAGATTCTAACTGCAATTAGCAAATACATTGTAGGATTGTCCTACCATTTGATTCTGTACAACTGTGGATTGGTGAAAATGGGATGTCCAATGGCGGAAGTGGAAGATACCTTTCCCAACTGGGTGCTGTAGGTAGGGTTCTAATGATAGCTTTAGAAAAGGAATTTTCTAAGACTTGCATGGGCAAATGAGTGAATTTTATTTGCATGGAGTTATATCCCTCAGTTGCAAAGTTCTCATTTCCTTTAAACTGGTCCTGGAAAAGGTGCAGCTGGAGGTTCAGCAGAGCTAGAAGCAAAGCCAGTGCCCAGAGGTTGCATTCCACGGCGGAGTGAAGTCCCACAGAGCACCAGGCTAGTTGTAATCCATCAGTTCTCTGTGTGTGGGCCATGGGAGCCATGGAGGGGAGCAGGCACTCTGTCACAAGAGGGGCAGGAGCTCAAGAGGGTGAGAGAGGGAACTCTGTTTTTCCAGGAACTTATGTAGCTCAGATTTGGTGCCATTGCAGGGGCCACATCTATTCTGGCTAATGATCGGCTCCCAGGTGTGACTGACAAGTAACCACCTTTCCTGCATTTAGACCTCACTGGGCATGCTTCTATTCTTTCATGGTCCATTTCCTTCCCCTAGGATCTGTTGGACACAGACATGGAGAGTGTGAAACTGCAGCACACGTGGCATGCCTATATTATCAAGCCTTACCTTTGCTCCGCCCCTGCCAATTAATTAACAACTGGTATAATTATAACAGTATTACAATGACATTCATACCTGCTACTTTTACTGTATTTTAAATTTTATTTTCCAATTACAGTCCACTTTCAATATTATTTTATGTTTGTTTCAGGTGTACAGCATAGTGATTAGATAAATTATATACTGTACAAAGTGTTCCTCCCAATATTTCCAATACCCATCTGGCAC